ATTGCCAAGTTGTGCAGAGTTGGCTTTAATTTGAGATTCTCCTGCCTCTGCCTCCTACATGGTGGGATTACAGGTATATGATGCCTCCATGGCCAGGTTTTCCTCAGGCTTCTGTGGGCTCAGCTGCCTTGTCAGTCTTCAGTTCCCTTGCTTTTCATCCTCATGTGCCTCATTAATGCTCTTCATCCAGTCACTGGGATGAAGCTGTCTCCTTTTAGAGTATGCTGAAACACGAGGAGAAAGCTAAATGTCAAAGCACGAGGTGGAGGGAACAGAGATGTCTCTTTACATGACTGAGTTTCTGTTCAGTCACTGATGACTGCGAGCCCAGGCTGACATGTTACTATTTAAAGCTGAACTATTTCTACAGCTTTCTCAGGCTTACAGCAGTGACGACTGTGCCGGCCCTGAGACCAAGGGATTTTCAATCCATTTCAGGCCTTACCTGTCTAGGCCTGAGGATGAATCTTCATGTGGCATTTTCTGGTCTGTTCTACTCCTCCTGTAAGTGAAAGCTCCTTCTGTGCATTCCCAGGGGCTCTCCCTATTTGGCCAAATCATCGATAAACTCACTTCTCTGTAACGTGCATTTTGCGCGTACTGTGGACGGTGGGCAGACAGATGACTCTGATAGCCGAGAACCAGCTCTGTGGCCTGGCTGTGGGGTGACAGGTGCACCCACCTCTTCTTAGCAGCCACTACATTTGCTTTTTGCCTCATCTTTATTTTTTCATCATGTAAAAATGTATGCCCATCAGTAATATGAAACATTTTGTCCGTGTTTGGGGAATTGGCACATGTGTATCAAGTTTCTGGATCATTTTCACTCTCTTTCTTCCCTCTTCCTTTCCTCCCCAGTCTTCCTGATCCCCTCCTCTACTTCTAAAGTCGACTTTCTAGTTTTTTTTATCATTTCTCCCTTATTCTCTTCCTTTTCATATAACATTTTAAGATTATTTTATTACAGCTTAGGTGACCCATGGAAATATAAAGATTGTACACATTATTGGTGTAGTACATATTTAGATAAATATATGCATGTGTAACGTTTAAATCTCATTGAACAACTCTGTCTCCTTACACATTTGTGACTTCCTTATGTTGGTAATTTCCAAGTGCTCTCCTTTACCGAAGCAGCTCTGGATCCTGATTTCAGGAGTGTCTTTAGGTGTGCTGTTCTGGCTGTCTCGATGTTCCGAATCCATTCAGATCACTGACCTTTCATATAATTATTTTGACTTTGGGGAGGAGCCAGAAGCCACACGGTGCCGGATCCGGTGGATCCGGTGGATCCGGCGGATGAAGACACAGCCTCGTGTTTTATGAGCCGCCTTTCTGCGGGATGGCGCTGGCGACAGCAGTCACCGTGGGAAAACACTCAGGCAAGAGGACCCCAGCGAGCTCCAGAAAGTGACGAGGACGAGGAGATGAGTGTGTTCAGAGGGAGGCAGAGGTTGGGAGGGGAGTCCACGCAATGCCTTCGATTGTAATAATTCACGTAACAATGCATTGTACGTTCCACTCAACGTTGAACACGCGCGAATCTCTCCTTTATTAATGTCACGGCTCTTGCATGTCACAGAATAGTAATTTTCAGAAAGGTACGCACCTGACCCACATGGCTATGAAAGTGAAATGCGTTGAAGAGATTTTGGGCGGCAGCCCTTCCCCGCCCCACGGGGAGGTCGGGCCCCCGCCTGTCCTCGCGTGGCTGAGCCCCCGGGGCCAGAGGCTTCCCTGCGGCTGATTTCCACCCGCTCGCGGCTCTGCCCGCGCACCACAGCTGCTTTCCGAGTCGGGCACAGCCCTCCCGGAGCTGCGGCCCTGCTCCGCCCACCCCCGCATCCTCAGCGCCTGCCACCCAGTATCCTCCTGTGACAAGAGGCACCGCAGCAAGACAGCGACTGTCCCAGCCCTGGCGGGCTGCGGGGAAATACGGGGAGATTCGCGCAGAGGACTGCACAGAAGATGGCAGAGATCCGCAGTATCTCCTGAGAGGTCTTTGCCTGAAATTAAAAAAAACAAAACAACGAAAGCATAGTTTATAGATCATCCGAGGTTTGCTAAAGAGCAAAGCACCTCACGATAGCAGCGCCTGTTTTCTCGGAATGTAAAGCAAACCCAGCGAGGAAGACGCGGAGCCACGCGTGGGAAGGAAAGGCCGAGCGCGGAGTGCGGTTAGCGGCAACGCCAGACTCGGCCAGCAGGGGGCAGGCTGCTACCGGGGAGGGCGGCGCCGCCTCGGCCCGACCAGCGCTGAAGAGTAAGAGGCCGGGGC